AAACAACTGCTGAGTTAATGAAAGTTGATGAAATGAAAGAGCAGAGAGCTCTGAGTGCTAGAGCAGAACTATAGTGTAAGTTTAAATGTACACCAGTTTGTTAGACACTGTGATGAAGAAAACAGCTACATTAACTGTGTTCCGACAGAGCAGCAATATACTCTGCCAGTAACAGAAACTGACTGGAGATGGGACACCACACTGATGTCAGCACGTCAACGGCATCACTACTATTAGTGAAAAGACATCAGTAAATCACTGTGTAAAAATGTTCTCAGATAAAAGAACAAAGTAAGTCAGTCAAAATGTTTCTTAGTAAACATGTTCCTGCGTTACATTTGAAAATGGGGAGGGAGGTGTAAAACATGTTAAAGGGCGATAATAATGATATATGATAAAACTATGAAATTAAAGAATATCTCTAGGTTACCAGATATATCAGTTCCGAGGGGAGAACAGCAACAAAATCAACCAATTAATTGCAGTTAGGCACTTTGGAGCCTAAGCATACACATAGTAATTACTAATATACTCAGTTGGCAATTTATTATTAAAATAGTTTTAGACAGTTTTGATTCAATTGAACGCTGTGAAGTAGTGTATAATACACTATACAGAAGTGTTTCTGTTATTTAGCCTACATTCAGTGATAGAAAATGGGGTATCCAGTTCAATGTGCTCTACAAAAAATCCAATTAAACTATGAAAGCCTGTCTGAAAATGTTTTTGCCAATTTGCATAATTTGAAAATAGTGAAATGAATAGTACTTAATGAATTTTAAGTTTAGCAGCACCAAATTTGGCAGACAGCCTGGGTGGACTGACAGACAAATTTCTATTATAAATGAGCAAGATTGGTCGAAAAACATGGCCGCCATGAACCAAAATAACTTCACAAAGAGCGGGGCTTAGATAATATTGGAGAACATAACTCACTAACCATTGGTCCAATCATCATGAATTTTGGTCCATATCTTTAAAAATCTTTATAAAAGTCTCAACATCGTAAGAGGAAATTATTGGCTCTTTATACTGCCAAACACACAAGCACAGATGTTTACAGACACACGCCATCTCCACGACATGGACACACTTTCAAAATAAGAATCTCAAAAAGGTAGGGTAGGTAATAAAAGGTAATGTAGGTAATAAAAGTTCGATCTTAGAAGCTATCGTCTATATGGGAATATAGTGGTATAGTTTTATTGCAGATCAACCTCTGTTAGGCTTGTACATATGTGTATACATGTCTTGCTATGGTTGTGGGAGCAAGTTTGGGTTTGAAACCATCAGTGTGAGGTTATTTTGGCCAGTCGTGACATCTTAAAATGGCTTTTAGAGGTGATAATCAGTGATAATCGTTGATCGAGCTTTTGTCCTAGCTGTCAACCGCTTTCATTTCATTTAATTTCAAAATGACAGACCAAGGCTGTAATGTCAAAATCAGAAAGATAAATCCTATTAAATGAAGGTCTGCCCATATTTTAAGGCAAATTTATAAATAAGTTCAAGAAATTCCAAAGGGTTCACTTTTTTTTTCTTCTGTCAGTACAGTACACATTGTTCCCTGACAAAAGATGTTCACATGTTCACAAACAAAAAGCCCCAAACATGCTGCAGACCAAACAATGAACTGCCTTCATGGCCCTCCCAGTCAGGATCACTCATATCTATGGGAAATAGATTCAATTGGCCAAAACAGAAACAGAATTTCTTACCTTACCACACAGAGGGAGAGCTGGACTCAAGTGTGTTTCATGGTTTCACAGGTGTGTGCATGTTTTATCTATTTCACAGTTTTCCATGTTTTCCACAGTTTAACTGTGACTGTTGTTTGTGAAGTTTGAGATAAAGTGGGACGAGCAGAGAGCTGTGGCTTTGTCTGTCCTGCTGACAAAGCTACAACTGTGCAGCTTGTTTTCTCACACTGAGTCCACAGAGACTAAATCCACACAAAGACAGACTGATGACAGGAAACCCACCACTTCATGACTGTGATCTGATCATCACTGAATATATGAGGAGGCAGACAGAGTGATGTGGACATGAAGGTGTGCACAGATGCCATAATTACAAATTTGTAATGAGCTTAACTTATACAGTTTTTTATGATTGCTTAAACACTAAAATTAAAAATAATACACATATTTTTGAAACTCGACACACAAGGAGCAAAATGTCAGCCCAGATTTGCACAATTATATGCACATTCTTGGCCTCATACTTTTTGCAAAACACTACACACAGTGTTTTGCAAAACACCAAACACACTTCTCTACATTAGACACATCATTCAAAACTGAAAGCCTTTGTGTGTTAATTGTTAAACACTGCCACTGAAACACCACACTCAATTAGCAATCACCTGAACTCAGAATGCACATGTGAAGTGTTGGGTCTGAGCTCTGCCTCATGAGCTGGACACCGTAAATGTTGGATCTTCGGTTGTATATCAATTTATTGGCTATCATAAATTAAGAAAAAATTATTAAAATAATATTATCATTAAATTATAACTTTAAAATGAATTAAAAGTCCTTGGGGGCACCAGCCTAAACTAATAGGCAAAATAGCCAATATTGTTTCAGTCTCAAATTATTACTATTAATCTGGAACTCTGATTAATAATTACCTTAATAACTATAACCATATTACCATATCAACAGTAAGTTGAAGGATTGGAATTCTACTAAGTAGAGGTTGGCAATTTTCACACTTGTGCATCATTAAACACACCAGTACTATACTTAAAGACATTTATTTACAATGGAACAGAGTAAGTACACAATGTCTAATCTAGTATATACATGTATGTGTGTGTGTGGGTATGTGTGAATGGGGGTGTGTGAATGTGGGGACACAGACAAAGCAAGATGGCTGATTCAAATTGGTCGCTGTGACCACATGACCTAAACAAAGAAGACTACACAAGATGGTGGTAAACAAAGGAACTACTCAAAATGGCCCCACACACACACACACACACACACACACACACACACACACACACACACACACACACACACACACACACACACACACACACACACACATACACACACACACACACACACACACACACCAACCTCCCTTCCTCTTCCCCTGTCCCTCTCCTGCTGCTGGGTTGATGGCCTTCTACGGCCCTCTCCAGCCCTCCTTGTGTAACGGCCGGCCTCCTGGTATCTCTTTCATGCTCTTGAGACTGTGCTAGGAGACACAGTAAACCTTCTTGCAACCACAAGTATGGATGTGCCATCCTGGAGAAGCTGGACTACCTGTGCAGCCTGATTGGGCTAGTTTCTTTGTTAGCCTAGCTCAACTTTAGATTTAAAGTTACCAGGTTAGAGGGAGAAGGTTAGCTGCATGCAGGTTCTAGAACTGAGACATACTACAGGTATGTGTGTGAACATACAAGTACTCGATTAACTGTATGACTGACCACAACCTAAGCAAACATTTCAACAACAAGATATTAATCAAAAGGTACATTAACAAAGTTAGGACTTCTGCTGCTTAGCTGTGCTATGCTGTGCTAGGGGAGGTTAGGCAGTCAGTTAACGTTACCCAGTCCTTGAAACAAAACAAAGAGGTCCTTTCCAGTGAGTTGGGTCGCTTCCTGGTGGAGTAAAGTCCTGTCTGGCTGTGTTGCTTCCACTGTTAACGCCTTTCTTCTCCTCACAGAGTTATCTGTTCCGTGCTAACTCTGCTGTGACTCCTGTTGCTTGGAAAGTCAGCTGGCTGGCTTCTGGATTCTGAAGAGAACTTGGTTCACTCTCAGTTAATCCGAAGCAGGTCGCTATTGTTGAGGAGAAGTGTTTGCACGCTGGCAAGAGAGCTGGTTTCTCAGGTAGCCCTGGGGGGTCACATATCACACACTGACCAACACTGACTGGTCAGTGAGGTCCCTGGGGGAGCGTCGCCCCCAGGTGTGAACAGTGAGGAACTGTGGGAAGTGATTTCCTTTGTCTGTGGAGCAAAGAAACATCTGGTCTCTTGAATGAGCTCCAACAGAAAATTAATGTAAACAATCAGATCACACATAAATCACAGCTTGATCACCATAAATAGGAGTCAGGTTTGCTCTTTGGTGTGCACAACAATGGAGGACAACTTTGCAGAAAGAAATAGAGGAAGGTGTTCGAGTAAGAGGAGGAAGAGCAAGAGGAGAAGTAGGAAGAGGAGAAGGAGGAGAAGGAGCAGGAGGAGAAAGAGGCAGACCAGAAAGAGGAAGAGGAGAAGGAGGAAGAGGAGCAAGAGGACACAGGACAAGGAGTGGCGAGAGGACTGGTCAGAATAAATAGGACAATTCTTACAGATGAGATCAGAGACAGGATAGACATTATCTGCAATACTCTATAGGCCTACTGTATTTTACAGTACAGTATGTCATCTTTTGTTTCCCCATTGGGTTTGTGTTCATATTTACAGCATGCTACAAATGAGAAATATCAAACACATACAGTACTGTAATAGTGTTTTTATACTTAGCATATATCACTAGAAAAGTAGAAATGGGATTTAGATTTAGATTTAGCACAGTCGTGTGCAGTTGGTAGTGGAAAGATCTATATATTTGGTGTTTGTGTGTAAAATTTGGAAGATAAAGTAGAGATGTAACATGTTTTGTATTTTGTGTATATGGTTTTCGTTTGTGTGTGTGGAGCTCTGACAAACAGGGCCTTAGTTTCAGGAACTGTGTTTTTGCAATAGTGAAAAACTGTAATATACAACGCTGATCATATTCACAGGCCTAACCTTTACTAAACCTGACTATAGTTCAGACAAGCGTCTCATGTTCTCTTCATGTTCCAGTCAATTATATCTACACCATATGAACATGTAGTGCTCATCCAGTCCAGCTCATCCAGTCCAGCTGGTGCTCATCCAGTCCAGCTGGGCTCTTTACCTTTTAACTTTACCCTGCTGCTGTTGTTCTGGGATTTATCTCCCACCACTTCCACAGCCTCTTCCTGTATTACCATGTAGTCCTTTGTGCGTTTTCAAGTCAAATTTATTTATAAAGCACATTTAAAACAACGTCAGATGTCAGGAGTTGTGTTTGGTTACAGCTTTTTCACAATTCCTAAAACATATCTTTTGAAACCTTCCATGCTTTTCTCAAAACTGTAAACCCAAAACCCATATATATTATTTATGTACATACATACACAACCAGACCATGGGGTCAAAGGGGCAGCTCCAGAAGATCTACGAATGGACACCAGGCAACTGGAGAGCATAGGCAAAATCTCCGGTTTGTAACAATAAGACTCTGCCTATTGATATTCGATTGTTTCTTATAAAGGAAAAGTAATGGTAAAGTGGTCTCAGACCTTTGGACCCCACTGTAAAGTGATCTCTGGTTGATTCTTTGCTCTTCATGTTGTTCACCACTTCATCAAAAGAAACACCCAACACGCATCACATGACAAACAGCATATTATTTATTTCCAAAATGGGACGATGACAGATAAATAAAACTTTATTATTTATTATGAAACAAATCAATCATCCATTGAAATAAAATCCATAGTCATCAATACTTTGTAAGTTCAAATTTGTACATAAAACATATTTACAGCATTTGTTGCTTTGCCCTTTTTTCTTTGTACATAAAAAGAGAAAAATAAACTTTGTACCTTCTGGTTTTAGTACAAATACAAGAAGCTTGTACAGTGCAGAAACTGTAAGGTCCAATGTGACTGTAAGATTCCTTAATAATGGTTTTAGTAAAACTAGTGCACACTGAAGGGAAACAATATGGAAGAGGCTAGAGAAAGGCCAACTTTAACTTCCTCTTCAGACCTTTAAACTATGATCAAATGTTGCATCTCTAATTTAGCTTATTTAGTTTGAGGGATCAGAGGTGCTGCAGACTAGTTCTGAATATAAATATATATTTACTCATAAAATCATTAAAAATTAGATCAAACTGTCACTGATTTTTACTCCAGGACGCAGAGACCCCCTGACCAGCTGGTTGAGCCACCCACCACCCTGAGCCTGGTTCTCTTGGTTTTTCATGGTGGAACAGTTGTTTTTCTCTATAATATTGTTTAGTCCTGACCTGACTCTGTTAAGCCTTGAGATCATGTCTGTTATGATTTGGTACTGTAGAACTAAAACTGATGTATGTATGTTCATAATGTATTGAACTGCAGGAGACTGAAGGATGAGCAAGGTGAGTGATGAGTTTGATTTACTAATAGCATGTCATCATACAGTATGTGACAAACACCATGTAATTGTAGGAACTTCAAAATAAAAACAAAGTAATAAATTAATAGGGTTTGTATTTTAACATCTTTGACATTTTAAATTTGGTGGTTCTCTGGTTTAATCCATTCTGTTCATAAATGTGGGTTAAACCATGGTCCAACTGAATCACAGTTGCTCAGCTTTCTTCCTGAAGGAAGAAAGCTGTTAACATTTCTTTATCATTGAAGGTTAGAAAAAGGTTAGAAAAAGATCAGAAAAGCCCCTTTAGCCAACGACAACATGTAAACTGACTTTGATGCTACATGTAGCTTAGCAGCTGAGGACAGACAATGATGTGTCAGTGATGTAAACAGCTGATATTTCAGGCACTTTTGAAACTAACTGTACCACAGCTGACTGGTAGTTAGCAGTCTAGTCCATCATGAACCAAAACCACATCAGTTGTACCCTTTCTGATTTTTTCAGAAACAACGTGAGGCACAGCTCATATCTACAAAGATGTCTAAATTTTTTTTTTTGTTATTGTGGACTGATGATTATTTTATCATGAAGCTGCAACAAGGGGTCTGAAAACTTTGCGAATGAACTGTAATATCAGAGTTCTCTTATTTAAGTCCTGTTCAGGCTGCGTGATATATATATATATATAGATGTGTGTAGCTGCTGTTGTGAAACAGTGGTTTTTTCAGAAAGTGGCTATGATGTGAAATGTTGCTCTTTTCACAGGAAGCAGCCTCTGAGGGTTTGCCTCTGACTCAGGAGGCCTGGAGGACTGAGGAGGACAAACCACTGCTGCTAATCACACTAGTCAGGGTGAGAGCAGGGAGGAGCTGCAGGGAATTAAGAGACGGGATGCTGTGCTTGAGCAGAGAGGCAGGAAACGACACAGACCTTAGTCTCTCTGCTTATCTGCAGAGAAGAGAGAAAATCAATGTGGTGTAAATCAGAGTTATGACTGTGGCTGGATGAGAGGGATGATACGAGTCTCGAGGATACGAGCCTTTGGCGTGTTGGTGTGTTAAGAGTGTCAGCAGGGCTGCAGTGACGAGTGCAAGGAAAGACCCAGGTTCTGGATTAAGGGAGGATTCTGAAGAGGGGTTGGTATTAATATACATTCAGCATAACAGGTTTATCTGGAGAACAACACCCCTCATTCCACTCAGGATCCAATGAAGTCTGACAATACAATACTGATATCAATTAAGATTTAGCTCAACATTCATTAATTAATTAAGGATTATTCTTCCAAAATAAAAGCACGGAAAGTCTGAGTCTAGATGACACCTGGCTGTGGTAAATGACAGCAGAAACGGGAGACAAGTTAAAATACCAGTAACTAAACTGGCACACGTGGTCAATTCAATACAATGTGTATTTCCTCAGTATTTTTTTTAACAGCAGTAGCTCTACTTTGTTTCAAAATAAAAGTCCTTCAGGGACAGGGAGGAGATTTTGCTCAGTGGAGTGAAGAAGGATTTTAATGTGAAAGAGATGGAGGAAGTGTTGAGCAACAAAAAACTGACATGAAAACTATGACAGTTCAGAGAAGAGGAGGCTGTTTTACTGAAGCACTTTACTGAGGACCAAGTTCCAGGTCCAGGTGACCAGGGTCCAGGGCCAGGGGACCAGAGGACAGGAGAATTAAAAACGTGAACCTGCTTCTGAGCAACTGAGCTTTATAATGTCTCCAGGCTCCATCTGATACTTTAGAGTATTAAAAGTGTACTATATCTGAATCTGTAATGACTGATGGATTGATTGATTGATTGATTGATTGATTGATGTTTGTTTTGACTGATTGTAAACTCAGTGATTGTCTTGCCTTGATGAACATCAACATGAAATGAACATCATAAAAACGCTTTTCATTTATCACAATGAGGCAAACATCTGTTAAAATCACTTATAAAATATCATAAAAATCACAGTCTGAACATCTACAGTTGATGACTGAAGAAGACTGTATGATGTGGTCGAAAGCTCCAGCAGAGCTTATAAATGGACCTGGAGGTGAGATGGTTTTGTGCTGAGCTCAGTGAGTTCTGACCAAGCTCTGCTGCAGAAACTTCATCTTTCTGTCATGTACAAAAACTGTTTATAGTCTGCATCATCTGACACTGGTGACAGGAAACAGCTGCTGAGTTCAGGTGGTTCACTTCATTCATTCATTCATTCATTCATTTAGAAGTAAATAGTGAAAACTGGTGAACTGTATCTTAAGACAGGCTTCACACACATTCATGACACAATTCAATATACTGTATACGAAGAGGAAGTCTGGATAATAAATGAAACTTCACTTGGATTTAAACAGGACGTTCATATTTTCTGTATAATTAGAAACAAGTCACTGAAAAGACTTGACGATTCAATTCTCAGGAGATAACTGATCTTAAATGAAGCATCACTCTCTCAGGTTAATTGCCTGTTCACACATTTATCACAGTCTGTTTAACATACTGACTGGAACATGTCAGGACTGAGGGAGGTGTCCACCTAAAAAACCAACTAACAACGGCAATGTTAAACATCTGCTCTGAGCACCACAGACCATCAGTCTGGGTCCTGAGCCCTATGTGGACCAGTCTGGGTCCTGAGCACTCTGTGGACTGTTCCATCTCTCTGGTGAATGATGTGTCATTGATTGTGGACAGTGAGAAGTGGTGTCCACCATGTCCAGGTTTGTCTTCCCACCTGTGTCCTGTTTGTCAGGTTGACTGATGAACGTCAGAGCAGATGTTAAAGGCTCCTCAGGATGTTCAAGTTCAAGGATGCTAAAGTTTGTGACAGGTTTAAATGTTGATGAGATTTGATTTGAAGGTGGGGTCCTGGTGGTGGGGTGGTGGACTGGTGGGACCCTGGGGTATTCTGGGCACGTTTGGTGATTAAAATCCTCCTGACTGAATCATCAGCTCACCATGATATCACCTGGTCATTACTTTTGTTTACCTGGGACATATGCAGGTCAGTGAGTCTGTTGTCCTGAGAATCCAGCTGGCTCCTCAGAAAATGGTCCAGTCAGTCTGACAGGCTGTTCCTGTTTTCTGCAAGGTCCAGCAGGAGGTTCATAAGTTCACATGCACTTCATCCTGGTCTTCAGCAGAAGAAGATGTCTCCATCATTCTGGGAATCCAACAACACTGTCATTTTGTTTTCTGAGGAGACAGAAACACACGAGTGAAGATCTGGACAACTGTCATTAACATGTCTGGAGCAGCTACATAGACCAGATCTGACAGACCTGCTGCGGAGGATCTAGTTTGCTGTGGACAGATCCAGGCTGATGTTTAATACTGTCAACATTTGTTATGACACATTAATGAAGAGAGTATTTGTGTCATGTTTCAGTGATGTCATACACACATACATATTACTTTCTGTAACCAAATGACATACACGTTTTAAGGTAGTATTGTATCTTCTTCCCATACAACTGTTTTAGACCAAAGTCTGTACATTCACCATCCAGATGTTTGCTCATGTTTTATTTGATCATATTACCTTGTTGCTCTGGTGTTATTTATTTATTTGTATTACTTTTTTTATTCAGAGGCAGACTCCCACTTTTACAGGAACACACTGATTGCATTCACAAAATTACACTTTCACACCTGGAAGCTGCCCAGTACAACCACAGTCTGACCTGCTGACCACTGAGCAGCTCCACTTAGCAGCTGGGAGTTAAGAGCCTTGCTCTTGGGCACAAAACTGCAGTATCACTTCTTCACATGTCTGTATATTTATCTTGTACTCTGACACTGAACTGAAGTTATTAATTATTTAAATGGACTCTGCACTTACACAGAGCTTTTCTAGTCTTATCGACCACTCAAAAAGCTTTACACTAAAAGCAACATTCACCCCTTCACTCACACATTCACTCACTGATGATACATCAGGGGTATTTGAGGTTCAGTATCTCCGACATGTGGACTGAAGGAGCTGGGATCAAACCATGACCTTCTGATGAATGATGATTAATAATCAGAATTATGTAGAATGTGCAGTTTATGACATTCCTCTGACAGATGCTGCCAGAGGTTGACATGGTCAACACAGGAGACAGTTGGTCCCCTTGTCTTGTTTTAATACCTGGAAGGTCCCATGTGACCTGACCTCGTGATGTTTCACACACTGTTTGAAGCCACTCGATAAAAGTGTGACGAAAACTGAATTAATACAGGTTTATAATGTGAAATCGTCACATAACATGAGATTATTTTCAGTAGAGGAGCAAACATAAGATAGTTTACCCTTCAATTTATATTCTGTCTTGTATGAGGGACCTTTGGTTTCTCAGATATCTAACATCATGTGTGACAGGTGACAAAACAATGACTTCACTGTCAGGAGGAATCTGAGGCTTCAAACAATGAAACCTTAAAAACAGCCTCTGAAACACAAGCTGAATTTTACTCCCTTCTCTGCTTCCAGTCTTTATGCTAAGATAGGCTAACCAGCTGCTGGCTGTAGCTTCATATTTCCTGTACAGACACGAGAGGAGTCAGTGTGAAAATCTGACTGAATACATGTATCTTCCACAGGTAACCTTTATTTAACATAAGGCTGTAGTCTTTCTATGTTTATATACATTTATGATGGTTGAACAGGTGTATTGATAAAGTTTTGGCTTTTTACTTGCAAAAGTTTTATCGCACTTACTGACAGTGACAGCGTGGTTCACATCGACTCTTTGTAATCTTCAGGTTATTTGTTTCACGTAACCACCCTGCCGCGACCCCCTATGTGCACGTGTGTGTGCAGCGCTGACACACACAATAAGAGTAGGGGCAGAGGGAATCTGCAGACTAGATGCAGAGTTGGGGGAAAACGTGTGTTTTTTTTAAAAACTGAGATCTTCTCCTCTCAAAAACAAATGGATCTGACTAAAGCAGTAAAAACACAATAATGCAGTTTCATGTTAAAAATCTAAGTTTCTCTGACGACACAGGCGTCAGGAGGGAAAGAGTAGCCAGCTGGAAATTCTTTAATGTCTGGCTGTTTGGCGCTGGCCAGTGCTTCGGGAAAACCCTGGGTGAGGGAACACCTGAATACATGTGTTCATGTGTTGGTACCTGTCTGAGTCTGCTCCCCTCCCTTCATCTTCTTCTTTTTGTCTTTCTTCTCTTTGGGTTTGGCCAGCTGCAGCAGTCTGGTGGGGAGCTGGGACTCCTTCTCTGCTCCATAAGGCTTTGAGGAGGAGGAGGAGGAGGAGGAGAAAGGGTTGAAGTTTTTACCCATCCTTTTTGATCCGATGCGGAGGAAAGGTTCTTTGGTTGGGGCAGAAGATGAGAGCTCCACCTGTGGAACATCCAGAAAAAAAGAGATCACCCTCTCTGTTCTCTTTCTGTGCTTTTTCTGAGGAGGACTTTATTTTTACCTCTTTTGGCTGTTCTGCTGCTTCCTTTGAATCCAGATCCAAAGACCCAGAACCATGGAGCCTCGTGGAGTCTTCAGAGGTGGCAGAGGGAGTTCGTTGGAACCTCTGAAGCTGCTCCTGCTGGAGAAAATACCCGGACAAATGAGAGACATGAAAGCACAAAGACCTGGACCCAGAGTTTCATCTTTAACCCAGCAGGCACAGTCTTAAGGGAAGTTCTGGTTGTTTCTGGGTCCAGTGATCAGAACATCAGACCACAGAGACATGAAGAGCTGTCAAACCTGCACATTACAGAAGAAGTGAGCTCCAGTGGTCTGACTCACCATGATGCTCAGGTGTGTCAGTTCACTGATTCAGCCCATCAACGTGAAACTGTTAGGTTGCTTCTAATGCCTGTACACTGATGAATTGCATCTGCGTCAGTCAGTCTGGTATTATAGATACTATACTAAGGCCTGCTGTGGTATCAGTGTTGGTAACTCTGTGGTCCATTGACAGTTGAGGCTTAAGGCTAGGAGATGGAGATATATGCCTTTTCTAACATCATCCTCATGGGAAATGTCAACTCCCTGGCTAAGAAGTGTGATCATGTGAGCATATCGTAAGAGTAGTCTCATGTGTTTCACAGAGACCTTGTTAAATGACAACACCCCCAACCGTTGTGTTGATTTACCCGGCTTCACTGCAGTACAAGTGGACAGAGACGCCGGAGCAAGTGGAAAGAAGAAAGGTGGAGGACTGGTTCTGCTTGTGAACAATAGATGGTGCAACCCCAGTCACATCACAGTGAACAAGATCATCTGCTGTTGGGATATCGAACTGTTGGCAGTTGGTCTTAGACCATACTATGTATCGAGGGAGTTCTCACATATCGTCGCCATTGTTGTTTACATTCAACTATGAGCAGAGCCTGCAGTCGTGTGTGACGTCATTCACGAGACTGTTGCGAGAGTACAGACCCAGCACCCTGATGCATTCATTGCAATATCGGGGGTTTTAACCATGTCACTATCACCTCTCACCTGACTGGCTTCACTCAGTATGTTGACTGTCCCACAAGGTAAAATAAGACACTTGATCTGTTGTATGCAAATGTCAAGGAGGCCTACACTGCTTCAGCTCTACCACCACTTGGCAGATCAGATCATAATCTGGTTTTTCTTCAGCCTTCCTACAAACCCTGTGTACTCAGACAGGCTGCAACCACCCGCTCATTCAGGAACTGGACCCCGGAGGCCAATGAGTCTCTAAAAGACTGTTTTGAGTGCACAGATTGGAATGTACTGTCTGAGTCACAGGAAAAAGATAAAACCAAGGACCCTGACCTTGATAGAATGGTTGAAAGTACCACAAACTACATTAACTTCTGTATGGACACTGTACTACCAGCAAGAACTGAAGCAGAAGCCTACAAACAGGGAGGGTCCCGGTCCTGTGTAAAATATCATGTCTTGTTCCAGTCCCTAAAGTAGGACGACTGGCTGAGATAAATGACTACAGACCGCCGGCCCTCACATCACACATCATGAAGACCCTGGAGCGGCTGCCTCTCCACCTTCTGAGGCCACCGGTTGAACATGCACTTGACCCCCTACAGTTCGCCTACAAAGAACATATTGGAGTGGATGATGCTGTCCTTTGCATGCTCCACCGGGCCCATCCTTACTTGGATGAGCCAAGCAGTTACATGAGGATTATGTTCTTGATTTTTCAAGTGCATTTAACACCATCCAACCCCACCATCCTTAAAGACAAGCTGGAAGGGATGGGGGTGGATCCCTGCTTCACGTCCTGGATTGTGCATTACCTGACTAGACAACCACCGTACGTCATGCTGGGTAACTGTGTCTCAGGGACAGTGATGAGCAGCACTGGGGCTCCACAGGGGACTGTTCTGGCTCTGTTCCTGTTCACCCTGTATACGGCAGACTTTAAATAGAACTCTGAGTCCTGCAACATCCAGAAATACTTGGATGACACAGCTATTGTGACAGGAATCAGGAACGGGCAGGATCTGACAATGGCCCTCAGTGAATGGAGCAACAAGAACTGCTTCCTTCTGAACACCTCCAAGACCAAGGAGATGGTCATCGACTTTCGGAGGTGTAGGCCCACCCCTCGGCCAGTCAACACTCGAGGGAAGGACATTGAGGTGGTGCACACTTATAAATACCTAGGTGTGCACCTAGACAGTAAACTGGACTGGTCCCTGAACATGGCTGCCATCTACCTGGAAGGGGCAGAGCCGGCTCTTTTCCTCAGGAGGCTGAGGTCCTTTGAAGTCTGCAGTGAAATGCTTCATGTTTTATCAGTCAGTGGTGGTGAGTGTACTTTTTTATGCTGCAGTCTGCTGGGGCAGCAGCATGTCTCACATGAACACAAGGAGACTGGACAAGCTGGTAAAAAAGGCTGGGTCTGTGCTTGGCAGGAGTCTGGACTCACTCAGGACTGTTGTGGAATGTAATGTAAGATGCAATGTAAGATGGAGGCCATCTCCACAACATTCTGGCAGGACAGAGAAGCAGCTACAGGTGCAGCAATCTCACTGCACTGTAGAACAGAGAGGTTGAGGAGATCCTTTGTTCCCACTGCCATCAGGCTATACAACACCTCAGCCAAAGGAAGTGAACTAATATAATTATTATTGTTTATTTATTATCAACTGTTATTATTATTATTGTTATCAACAATGACTAATGGACAAATGAATTTAAATAAATTATCTATCTATCTATCTATCTATCTATCTATCTATCTATCTATCTATCTATCTATGTATTGCTCTACATGGACACACACTTAGTGAAGTGTCTCAGTGAGGGCAGACCTGATATTGAACCAAACATGGTGATTTCCACCATAACCTGACGGTTCTGGGGACAGGGGGCCTGAAGTAACAGGTTCAATAATTAGCAGTAACACTTGGGGGGGGGGGGGGGGGGGTTTGAACCTCAACTCTCACTGAGCCAACGATCCAAGAACACACATAAACACCACTGACATTTCCCTCTTGGTTTATAGTCAGAGCTTCCACAGCCTGTGTCTGTGTGGACTCTGCAAGGGGAAAAGTCCCCAGGACCCTGACCTGGTCTGTTTCCATGGCCTCCAGTCTCTCAGAGTCTCTCCTCAGGGCCTTCATGTCCCTCTCCAGCCTTCTCTGAGCCTCCTTCAGCCTCTCCAGCTCTCTCTGGTACTCTTCTCTCTTCCTCTGCATCGTCTGTCTCTCCTCCTGCAGCACCTGGTGCCTCCTTCTGGTGTCCTCCTCCTCCTCCCTCAGCCTTTCCTCCCGCTCTGCCAGACCTTTCTCCTTCATCTCCCACTCCTTCTCTCTCCTCCTCTTCTCCTCCTGGTGCGCAGCCTGCTGTTTCTGAAAGCAACCACAGAGATGATGATACACTGACTGACAGACTTTAAGGTGGATACATACTGAGTGATGATGATGATGATGATGATGAAGGCAGTCTGTGAACCTGCAGGCTGGCCGCCTCCTGTCGCTGTCTCTCCAGACTCCTGTGTTTCTCCTGCTCGATGAGAGAGGAGGGGCGGGAGGATGATGAGGAGGAGAGCGAGGAAGAGGATGAGTGTCTGGAGGAGTTGGTGGTGAGCCGGTCATTCAGGGCCTGTCTCCTGTCCTCCACAAAGGAATCCTGCTGGACCACCACAGCCTGGAGGTGGAGGAGAGGAAGAGGGAGACATGATACTTGAGGAGCTGCAGGTTCCAGGTTCAGGTGTTCCTGCAGGCACGTGCCTACAGGTGTGTTCCTGTAGGTGTGCTCCTGTAGGTGTGTTTCTGTGTGTTCCTGTAGGTGTATTCCTATAGGTGTGTTCTTGTAAGTGTGTTTCTGTAGGTGTGCTCCTGTTGGTGTGTTTCTGTAGGTGTGTTTCTGTAGGTGTGTTTCTGTGTGTTCCTTTAGGTGTATTTCTGTGGGTGTGTTTCTGTGAGTTCCTGCAGGTGTGTTCTGTTGGTGTGTTCCTGTACCTGCAGTGAGATCAGCAGGTCATGGAGATGTATCACACTGTGCTGGACCTGCTGGAGAAACACAGACATGTCACAGACACAGACAGCTGGATCATCTATACCTCCTCACACAACTTTAATGAACAGCTGTAAGAACAATACCTGTTAGGTAATTTACATCAAAAACAGTAAACATACAGCTCACACACTTACTTCATTGTTTCTCTTCAGCAACATCTGCAGGCTGGCAGTGGCTCCCTGCATGCATGCAGACAGACACACATACATACATACATACATATATACACACACACACACACACACACACACACACACACACACACACAGAGCACAGATATCATACACATGACACACAGGACCTTCACCTGACATCTCGGAAGAAATGCTCTGTGGAGACACACACCTTTTTCAACACACTGTCGGACTCAGTCCTGCGGAGGTCCAATGACTCCTCCCCCTCTTCCTTGTCTCCATCTGAGGACACAGGAGAGAGGAGAGGAGAGTGAAGAGGAGAGAGGAGAGGAGAGGAGAGAGAAGAGGAGAGAGGAGAAGAGAGGAGAAAGAAGAGAGAGGAGAGAAGAGGTGAGTCAGTGTGTGATAAACCTGCTGTCAGACTGTTTGACTCCTGCTGTACCTGTTGACCAGAACACACTGTGCTCTTCTTCTTCTTCTGTGTGAAATAACCTACAGGAGTGAGTGTGTGTTTCTTACTCTTGCTGCTGTTCATCTGATGACTGTCGAAGCCTCCAAACGTCTCAGCTCTGCGGGGCAGAGAAACTGGTCCCACACTGCCCCCTGTCAGGCCAGCTGGAGCACTGCAGCTGGCTCCACCTACTCCACTGCTGACTAAAGTGTGCAGACTCTCAACTGGAGACAGACAGAAACAGTTACACACAGTCTAACATCTCATCTCTGACACACATGCACGCACAATACCATACAAATCTTGCTGCTCACCTTCCCTCAGGGCATCCTGTATGATTGGCTCCCCCTTTGTGACATCATCAGGTGTGGCCCTGAACAACATGCGTTCCCTGACGGGTGGGTTTGTGTCTTCGGTGGTGGAACTGCAGTCTCCCAGCTCTCTGAAGATGTGGACTTTCTCCTCCAATAAACAGATGATCTGCTCGTCTTTCCTCCGCAGAAGCTCTGGAATAAAACATAAGGATTCATGACACAACACAACATGATACAACTCAATACAACAGAGTACAACACAACACAACACAATACAACACAATATGGTAAATGGACTTGCACATATAGTATATAGCGCTTTTCTAGTCTTACTGACCACTCAAAGCACTTAACAATACTTGCCACATTCACCCATTCACTCCCATTAATACATCACACTTATATGCACAGTCACACACTGATGAAACAGCCGCCCAGTAAATATAACACAATTCAACACAACCCAATACAATCGAATACAACACAGTACAATATGATACAACTCAATACAACACCGTACAACACAATACAGTACAACACAACACAATACAGTTCAATACAGTTCAGTTCAGACAACTTTATTTATGCCCCATGGGCAATTCATTTGTAGCTTCCCAGTCCATACATTCGGTCGCAACAGACAACCAACCAACCAACCAACCAACCAACCAGATACAGTTAAAATGTCAGAGGAAAACATATTAAAGGCACGGGAAAGTTAAAAATAGGTGAAACAATAAATAAAAGCAGTAAATAAAGCAATAAATAGAACAACATATCCAATGAATTACTCTAAAATCACAATCAAATTCCTTCACAAAAAGAAGGAATAAAGGACTTTAATGATTAGTTCTCACCATGGGCACATTATAACATTGGCCCGAAAGCATTAGAGAGAATTCGGACGACAGAATGTGGTCTGGCTGGCTAATAATTTTTTTTTGCTTTCTCAGCCACCTGTTTCTCCCAATGGGAGCCCAAGTCCCTTTGCTGAACTCCAATAATCTTGGAGCACACTTTTATGATGCTGTTTAGGCTGTTCTTGTCCTTCACAGACCCATTGAACCAGCAGGTAAAAGAAAAGGTTAAAAGGCTTTCAATAAAAGAATGATAAAAGTTACATAAAATTGTATCACAGACATATAAAGAATTAAGCTTCCACATTAAGCGAATCCTTTGTTGACCCCACTTGACAATCAGTTCTTTGTTTACATCAAATTTTAGTTGTGAATCAAACACAGTGCCAAGATACTTATAAGAGTCCACAATTTCAACATTATGAATAATGCTCACTTTTGGTGTGTCATTAGTTCGCCTAAAATCAATGATTGACTCCTTGGTTTTTAACACATTAAGATCCAGGAAGTTATCATCACACCATTCAACAAAAGCAGGTAAGGCACGACCATGGTCTGAGTCTGGGCCCTGAAGATGAGACAGGAGGGCAGTGTCATCAGAGAACTTTACAATGTAACTGCCTTCTTGAGACGTTCTGCAGCTGTCTGTGTACATTAAAAAGAACAAAGGTGAGGGGACACAACCCTGGGGTGAACCTGTACTTGAAAGCCTTGTGCCGGATATACGTCCGTTCACCCAAACCTGCTGGGTTCTGTCAGTAAAAAATCCAGAAGCAACTAAAATCCTTGCGTGAGACTCTGGTTTCTCCAGGTGCTTATACACTCTGTCTAGAATGTAGAATGAATCATTGTAAGGGGTGTAATTTGCCCTCTATAAGGGAGACCACCATATCTTTTATGACCCTTTCAAAAATCTTCATAACAAGGTATGTAAGAGCAACTGGTCTGAAGTCACTTAGTCCCTTAGTGTTTTTAGATTTAGGAATAGGTATGATGGTGGATGTTTTCCAGACTTGGGAAGTAAAGGCGGAGAGAGACGTTCAACAGTTCAATGTCAGGGGTGCATATTCTTTCTCATACTATGACAGTGTTACAGTACCTGTGATTAACGTAGAAGCACACACACCACCTCCACGTCGCTTGTTTGTGATCCCTGATGACTGGTTAAGTCGAAATGGGCTTCCAAACCAACTTAATGACAGTTCGATTCACTGAGCCATGTTTCAGTAAAAGGTAGGAGGCATGTTTCCTTTCCTTCGGGTGTGAGTTTGACCCAGGCCTCCAGCTCATCTGACTTGTTGTGGATTGACTGCAGGTTGGAGAGAAGGACTGTTGGCAGTGGAGGAAGCTTGCGGCGATCGTTGAGGTTCATATTTCTGAGCTTACGGTGTATTCCACCCCTTCTTCCTCTTTTCCGACACTTTGTTCTCTTGTCTACTCTGCAAAGTTCAGGTGGTATGTTTCCTGGCTCCACGCCATGCGAGGATGATCGTAGAGATAGCAGAAGCTCCAGGCTAAGGGAAATTCTCCCGGGACTAACGACATGATGGCTCCGGATATGTCCAGTGTCCTGGAAGGCGTTCGTACTCAAAGAAATTACACATAAAAGTGCAATAAAAAGTGCAATAAATTCCCAAACCATTCCCATTATCAGCCTACTGCGTCCTTGACATAAAACTTCTCACACATTCAAGATTTCCGTACAGTTTAAGACGGTAATGAACAGTAAAAGACGATAGACAACCGACAGGTAGGCTACATGAGTTGAACAGTTAAAGACGATAGACAACCGACAGGTAGGCTACACGAGTCGCACGCTGTGGAGCGCCCCGGAATACAGTATAACACAGTACAACATGGAACAACACAACACAACTCAATACAACATTACAACATAACACAAGTGAATACAACTCATGATTCAATACAACACAGTACAAGACAACTCAGTACAACACTGTAGCGTACATACGTGGCCTGGCATCAGTCACAAGCCATTAAGGAAGTTCATTGTAAGGACATGCAGAGTTACGGACCCACAATTGACACTTTGCGACTCTTCCCACCATCAAACTATCAAATTGATAGGAAACAGAGACAAAGGACCCCTCTTCCACAAACAGACCATGCTTTTAGCATGTCCGAACGACACAGAACCAGACCAAAGGTCAAAGGGTCAGCTCCAGAGGATTAACCAATGGACACCAGACAACTGGAGAATATAGGCAAAATCTCCAGTTTGTAACAATAAGACTTTGTCTATTGATATTTGATTGTTTCTTGTATAGGACAAGTAACAACAAAAAGGACTGATTAACACTAATGTGTGAATCCTGGCCTTTCTGTGCCATGCATGAACACACACACCAACCTCCCTTCCTCTGTCCCTCTCTAGATAAGAGTCATAAACTACAACCCACATTCCAATCCTGGGTAGTGACCAGCAGAACTTTCTTCACAGACACAGATCTAAGGAAGAATGTAAAATTAAATATCTAGCTGTTGAGATGTTCCTATGCAATAGTTTAATCCCAAACTTCTATCCCATAGAATGTTTGAAATGTAACATGTAGATTTTAAGACAATGTCCTTCATGTGACCATACTGTCAGCATCCTTCACACGAGGTAACACACACTACATGACATCCAGAATGTCCATATTATTATTATTACAGTCAAAGAACTGCTGTGTAATCCACATTTATAGACTTTTAGCTTTGGGAAATGTTTATATTGTTGTTTGATCAATTAACCACTTGTATGATTAATTCCAGGTTTGAAGGATGTAATATGAAATCAACACTCCTCTCTGCCATTATTAGTGCAAGTAGTTTTATGATATTTCATTTAATGTTTTGTGGTCATGGTGGAAGACGGATGTGCGAGTTTATAAGTAACTCTAGAATTAAATTATTCCAAAGTTCAGTGGAAAATTACTCTCTTCTCCAAGTGGAAACACAGGAGACAACGGGTGACGCCCCTGAAACATGCGCCAGCCCCCAGGGGATAAAACAGTCGTGATCAATTCACATAGTGCAGAACAAGTCACTAATTCGGAAAAGTGCAGAAAAGCCTGAAAGGTGAAAAGAGGTCAGATGGCAGTTCCAAAAATCAGTTCAGAAGAGAACCAGAAGAGAAAGAAAAGTCAGAGAAACCCAGATGACAAGAAGATGCGAGAAGCGAGAAACGATGCAGAAACTAGAAGCTGAGATCCTTGCTCAAAGCCTGGCTCTGTAGCCATGTAAACTCTTAGCTCTAAGCTGCTAGCCACAAACTCATGGCTCTTAGTAGTTTTTGCACTTTTCGCGTCTTTTATTTTTCTTTACCACAAGCTCCAAGTAACATGATTTTTGTCTACATGCGCGATCTTTTATTTTTATAAGCCAAGTCAAGACCAACTGAACCAAAGCAACAGAAGTGCCTCAGAGTAATTTTGTAACTTTTAATCATCATCAAGTTTTCCTTTTTGAAGATTTTGACAACTTTAGAGTCATCTGGTCAACGTCAGTCTCCTCTAAAGTTATCCAGCCAAAGTAAAGAGCATTAGAGTTTATTTCGCATCAACCCGCAAGAGACACCAGCAGATAACATCTGCACGACCGCCTGCAGAGAAGCCAAGCAGAAATCAAGAGGGCCTGAGACAGAAAGTCTCCTGGCAAACTCCACCAAAACTGAACCACTGAGACACCGGCAGAATCCGTCATCGTGATAACGGGACACGGCCTCCAGGAGAATCCACCTAGATCCCGCGTCTCCAGGGTTACCACGGCAACCTCAGCTACCTGGGTTCCAGCCGAGGGTCCGCAGCTACAGCGCAACTCACAGTAGGCCGGTCTTAACACTCTGCTCATGACTGGGTTGATGTCGAAATATAGCAATATTTAATCATCAAACCTAATTCGTAGATGTAGTATCATTAGCTGTATAGCCATAGTGTATAGCCATAACATATTCTCTCCCACCATTGCCAACTCATCACACTGCTCATTTCCTTATTATTTTCATCTTTATGATTATTACACCTTGCATTTACTCTGTAGATAGTAGTTTAGTTAAATAAACTTATTTATTTACATCCAGTTGTTGTCCTGTTGTATTCTTTTGACGTAGAGACTGGAGATCCATTGAATCGAGAAGTCATGGCTTCCGATATGAGATTGATAAATTTGGCAATGAAGTAATTCATTGTTGTCCTCCTAGAGGACTGGTGCCCCATTTCAACGAGAGTAAATCCTAAAATATGGCGTTAACACTACAACACAGTACAGTGTGTTCACCTCTGATCTCCTTTGCTCTGCTCTCCTGCTGCCTCCTGTCCTCCTCTGTCTCACTGGGAACTCCCTCATCCTCGTCTTTCTCCCTGTCAACACACAAACACACTGTGATGTTCATCTCTCTGACAATCAGAAACTGTGACAGTCACAGAAGTCTTGAGGATTCTTCAGTAAAGCTGTTGAGAACCTGATTCAAAAACAACATGTTTTAGTCCAGATTTATGGAGATTAACCTTTCATTTTTTTTGTTTGTAGTTTTAGCTCATTGATCAGATCTGTGGCAGCGGAAACTTTACAATAACTGAATGTGTGTGTGTGTGTGTGTGTGCGCTCACATGAAGTGCATGGTGTCCTGTATGATGGCCCTCCATGTGTTGCGCTCCTCCTTGCTGCTGGCCAACACCTCCACCATCTCTGGTCTCTCTGTCCCAGCTGTGATCAGGAAGAGACCTGCAGAGACAGAGTCCGAGTCAGTCACAATCAGTGTGTGTGTATCATACTGTGTGAAACTTCAGACATTGTGTGCTGTCAAAAAAAAAACAAAGGAGAGCTGACCTCTCTCCTCGTTAGCCACTTCTCTAACGATCAGATTCTGTAGAGAGATGACTGTGGAGCGCTGGTCCTGAGGACAGAGGTCCAGGTCACTCAGGGCTCATGACAATATGCACTGAGAACACAGTGTGTAATTAAATCACAGTGTATTTTTAAATGATGTTGTGATGAGCTACTTACCAAAGAGGCAAATACATATTTCTGGTCCTTTTCCTGAAGAAAGACCAACACATCAGAGAGGAGCAGGGCACGGACGTCTGCAACACCAGGACACAAACATGGTGACAACATCCTGAACACAGAATAACATCATCTACACAAACTGGACAGAGTGAAAACCTTTGAGTCGTCCTGCAGAGTTCTTCAGCTGCAGCCCTCCATCATGCAGCAGCTTCCTCCCCCTAATCAGGTCCTCTTTAGCAAACATCTGACCGCTCTTCATCCTCATGATGGACTTACTGTCAGTGCGACTAGAGACCACAGAAAATTCAGGTTACACTGAGGTACAGAGAGGAGCTCCAGTAAAAGACACTGGACTGAGAGAGGAGCCAGCTGCTCCTCCTGCTTTACATACTGTATCTACATATATGTGTATACATATATATAGTGTATGAGGCAGCTTATTGTATGTTTACTAATGAATAATGTTAATTCTCATTTACAATTTAAATCTAACCACTGTGTTACACAGTTACAGGTGGTTTTTATTGCTAATCTAGAGTTTGGAGTTTGGAGTCAGTGCTTCTGTTCAGTCCTGCAGATTTTCTGCTGATTCAGGATCTAATTCCAGATTTGACACTGGTCTAGATTACAGGGTGAGGGGGTTAGTGTGGGGTTGTGTGTACCTGTGAACCTCCCTAAGCCTTCGTTTTTTCTCCTGCTCATTGACTTTACTGTCCACAGCTGCGATCAGCTCCTTCACACAGCGCAGTGATTCACAGACACCACTGTGGTCTCCATCTGAGTCTGTGAGAGCAGAGGAACACAGTTAGCATGAGCATCCTGCCTCCTGCTGTACCTCCTGAGCCACAGTGTTGCCGTTTACACAGCAATACCAACCAACCAACTCTGGCACTCTCTTCCACCAGACATCCGTAACATTGTTTCTTTACCCCAGTTTAAATCAAGACTCAAAACTCATCTGTTTGCATATTCCCTATAATTTCATTGTTTTCTTTTTAACTATCTGTTGTTTTTATTATTTTTATTGTGTTTTTAATCTTCTGTAAAGTGTCCTTGAGTGCTGTGAAAGGCGCTGCCAAATAAAATGTATTATTAGTGCCACTGGTGCTCAGCTCCGAGGCACTCCTCTACAGCTAGAATAGCTGAGAGGAGTGCCCGAGGCATCCATTAATATTCCTTCAGGTTTATTATTATTCTTCCGCCAAATTTTGGCGCGTAACTTGTCCCGCAGCTTTGAGAAAATATATATACATCAAAACGTGCGTCTTGATCCCGAAAGAGGTGCTATGACTTTTGGTGTTAAAATTCCAATTTTTCCCAAAGTTATTCACAAAATACTGGGAATAAATAATGCATTAGGAATGCATTGGAATTTTCTTTAGAAACCCACAAAATTTCACCTTTTTTCTGAGTCACCCAGCTCTCTCATACCTGCACGTAGAAATGTGATTCAAACTATAAAACAGAGGAAAACTTCTGCTCTCTCAAAAATACAGGAACTGTTTTTACATAACATGTAAACTTTTCAAACTATGAGCACTCAAAGGAGTGTCACTCTAACTTTGAAGAAAAAGTGATTTTTTGACTCGAGCTCACGGCCAAACCGTAAAAAGGAGACAAATAATTCTTTCTCAAAATGTAGACATTGTTGTTGGGATTCATAAAATGTAACTTTGACAGGCAGGGTCTGCACAAAATTTAAACGGGGGTGCCGAGTCCGGCAGCAATACCTGTCTCACTTTCATTGAGACCTAATGTAATCGTCTTTTTTTTTCAAAAGAATCTCACTCTGTCTTCGCACTGAGCTTACTCACTCATTTTAAGGAATATCTGAATAAAATAGAGACTGTAAGAAACTTCTGGCTTCAGTGTCTGTCACGGTGTTTTCGGTTTTTGAAAAGAAGTAACGGTTTTCTCATAATTTGCAATTGTTTTAAGCCATGTAGAAGCCAAATTCTGGGCAGATTTTCACATTGCCATGGCAACGGCAGCTCCTGACCTGTGTGCGTGTGTGCGTGCCTAGCAACCAGATAACCAACTCTCCAAGCTCCGCTAGCTTTACATTAGCCGCATGTTAGGTCTTAAATTACATTTAGTTAGGTCTTAAATATGTAAGTCCATTTACTGCTTCCTTTGTTGCTTTTCTTTTTGTTTTGTTAAATGAGTGAATGAAGTTGTGACGGTCTCCGCTGAGACAGAGGAGAGGAGAAGCTACTAGCCCTCTCTCGCTGTCACTTCTAGTCGCGTTGCTCTCCTCCCCAGTAATGTTAAATTTAGCACCGAAAAAAAACATAATAGTGGTAATTTAAATAGCGGTTCATGGGATTTATTAACCCTCAGGGGTCCCTCTGTCCTTTTTTGGACATTTTCTTCACTTTTCTTTTTTGATTTGCTGATCATTTTGGCTGTGTTACAGCTGAAGGTATGGATTTCTGCAAGAAAGTGTCTTTTTTGACATATTTTTAAAATCTAATGTCAGTTACTGTTACAGGTCTATTATACACTGGTAACACATTTTGTACCCTCTGGGGTTCCTCGCGTCCAAAATCATGCTATAAAATCATCATATATCAATATTTTTTTCTGCTTTTTTTTGCATACATCTCTTAAACCACTTCAAATTCCCTGGTATTTTCTAGTTATTATTATTATTAAACCAATCACAGTGCCATCTCAAATTTGAATTCGGAATGGGAGTAGCGTATTGCTATTATAACAGCGCAGAATTTCACACAGAATTAGATTCTGTTTGTGGTCAGTTGATTATATATTATGACTGACCAGTGATGCTCACAGCCCTACAATGAAGTAACAGCACAAATCACTATGTTAGAAATATTTGCATATGTATGATGAGAAGTGTGAATAAATCATTGTTCGTTATGAAACTATGGACAAATTTAGGTGATGAACAGGCAGCACTGGATGATTTACCATGTAGTAAGAAAGAAGCATCTCTGCAGAGCCTCCTGCAACAGATATCCCTGACAAAGAAGCTCCGACCTTCTGAGGTTGTATTGTAAAGTTCCACCTCACTTATCCTCACATCTAAGTGCATTTTCACCACACTACTTGTGCGAAACAGACAGCGTGGATGCACTCTGTGCGCCTGTGTATGTTGGCACATACTGTAGGCTATAACTTTCTTGACAATGCTCCTTAAAATAACAGTGAAATACTGCACCACTGACTTCGGCCAGGTTTTTGTTGGTTAATCACGCAATCACTTTCAGCTGTCTCAAGATAACAATGCACCAACATGCTAATGACCACACCTCATTTTAAGACCAACATGCCCATGGGCGCACAGATAGGCACAAGTGTATTTGCTATTTAAACAACATGGTCATGGATGGGAAAAGTCAGTCTGAAACTAGTGCAGACACGCTTTACACTGGGTGTAAGACAGAGACCAGTGTTTTTTTTTTTTATACAGACTGATTGATAAAGGGAGTGTCTTCATTCATTTATAACTAATTGTGGGAGTGGAAATGAGGCTCATGCACATGAGAACAATTTCTCAATGAGTGAGATTTTAAGCAGAACCATACTGTTGGGCGTGAACATGTGGTCAGACAAAGCAGGCCTGGTCGGGCCTACTTGTAACCCCCGAAGCCTGACCTCAAGCATGAACTTTTGTCTTCAACCTTTGAACAAAGGAAAGACCGCCAAAGGCCACCCCACAGACTCCAACTCCAAGCATGCTCCACGTTTCACACCTGAAGTGGATTCTGGGGAGTCTCGAACTCACATCGTCATTGGCAGAGATGCAGGGAATCCTGCATCTATAAATGCCCGCTGTGCATATGCACAACGCCTTTCCAAAGTAACCATACCAGAGTTAGTCAACGTTCCCTGTGAGCTAGTATACTGAAGGAGGTAACCAACCCCGGGCACGCTTGTTTTCCCTTTGTTCCTCCCCGCGGAGTTTGAAGACTGTCCCTTCACTGGACGAGTTTAGACTTCCCCTTGTGTTCAGCCAAACACAAATTTAAAGGATCTGACACGAGATTCCGCTGGCACAGCTCGACCTTCTTGTTTTGCCTGCAGAAGGAAGAAGTTACTTCTACACGGACATGCGGAAAACCTACGCCTGCTACCCTCCGATCACTTGGACTCTGCAGTTTTTCTGTGCTGCCAATCCAGGAACCAGCTGCAGCGAACCTCATGGAACGAGAACGGCACCGTCGAACCGCACCGGAGCACCCGTGCTGGATTTCACCTACGGACTTTCACACGCACCTAATCGCTTGGAAGCGATCCCAGTAAGAGGTTTGCGTCTGGGCAGAGACAGTGATTGTGTATTTAATTAAGCAGATGTTATTGAGTTAGTGCTGCGAATTCTTGTTGAGCTATTATCATTTTGTGTTGTGATAGATTGACCGCCGAGTCCTTAGTATCATACTTTGAAAGTGATTAGAATCGCCGTTTAACTGTTCACCGCTCTAGAAGAGTTGTGTGTGCCACCGAAGGTGGAAAGCGAGCCGCTCAGTCCGTAACGAACCAAACAACGGGCATACGTGCGCTCTCTGTGGGTCTAGTGTCAGCCACACACCTGAATGCGTTTACTGTATTGCTGTGTTTTCTGTATGCTTGGTTAGTTGGATGATTGGTAGTGTTAATTCGGACTGTGGTTAACTTTGCTGATTACTGGAAGATCAAATAAACATTATTGTAGTTAAAGAGAAGTCTTTTAGTCATTATTGTGCATGCTTATTGTGACCTGTGGCTGATTGAGAGAATCAGAGCTGAACTTTACATTGTTTACTCACTTGTAGTTGACTCCAGGAGGTCAGTTGCTTTAAGTTAACTATTTAGATCGTGAGACTGCAACCTGGTTTGGTTATCGTCCCGGTCTCCAGGTGGTTACCCGTATTATTAATAACTTTAATAATAATAATTAATAATTTATTCGTAAATAATGTAGATAATAATAATAATAATAATAATAATAATAATAATAATAATAATAATAACTAGAAAATTCCAGGGAAATTTTGAGTGCCACGGGGGCTACTGCCGGGATGAGTACATGATTTATTTCCAGTGTTCAAAAGTCACCCTGATCATATTCTGGTTTTGAGAAATGTCTTGATATAAAAGACTCTGATATAAAACAATGTCACATCCCTCCATCATGTATTATGTGGGAAATATCTCATATTCTGTGTTGTTTTTTATAAAACAAGAGGCAACATGTCTTCAAACTGGCATTTAAAGGGTTAAAATCCTGAAAACTAATAAACATTTGGTAGGTTTGAGCAGAACTGAAGTGGTTTGAGATGTATGCAAAAAAAAGCAGAAAAAATATTGATATATGATGATTTTATAGCATTTTCTTTGTGTGTCCTTTTTTTGGATGCGAGCAACCCCAGAGGGTACAAAATGTGTTACCAGTGTATAATAGACCTGTAACAGTAACTGACATTAGATTTTAAAAATATGTCAAAAAAGACACTTTCTTGCAGAAATCCATACCTTCAGCTGTAACACAGCCAAAATGATCAGCAAATCAAAAAAGAAAAGTGAAGAAAATGTCCAAAAA